GTAAGACATTATTACTATCACTGTGCTTGGCACTTTATAAAAAGTGAGATCATTTGCTTCTCACAGTAAACCTGCTATGGAAATGATTAGGCTCCAGGTTAAGTTGTGTTGGGTAGAGGGGTCCCCAGGCCAAGGTCTGTGGAACCCCAAAGCTGGAGTCGCATCACACCAGCTGCCTGCCTGTTAGGAAGCCAGTGCTGCTTTAAGATAAAATTCACTGTGGTGGGGGCCGCTCCAGCATGCCTGGATTTCCTGTAAGTGACTCAGGCCCTGCAGCGGGGCTGGAGGACAGTTAATTCTGTGATCCAGCCCACACACCCCTGGCCCTCTCGTCATCTTTTTTCCTCCTATTGTTCCCTGTTTCCAGCAGGTTAGGTGTGTCCTAGATTTGCAGAATGGCAAGACTTTTTCACAGGTGTTCTTATTCACCGTGAATGATGACACTTGGGATGCCTAGAATGTTTCCCAAGGGAACTCACCTCTAGAAAAAGCCTTAATATCCCCATGTGTCACTTACCCAACCCAAGAAGTGTTCTGATGAGGGACCAGTCCTCACGTTGTATCTCAAAATCAACCCTAAACCTACCTTCACTCTTTTTTTTTTTTAACATTATTAACTTTTTAAATTGTGGTAAAGTAAAATTTGCCATTTTTCAAGTGTACAATTCAGTGTGCCTTCACTTTTTTTTTTTTTGTGGTACACGGGCCTCTCACTGTTGTGGCCTCTCCCGTTGCGGAGCACAGGCTCCGGACGCGCAGGCTCAGCGGCCATGGCTCACGGGCCCAGCCGCTCTGCGGCATGTGGGATCTTCCTGGACCGGGGCACAAACCTGTGTCCCCTGCATCGGCAGGCAGACTCTCAACCACTGCGCCACCAGGGAAGCCCTTCTGCCTTCACTTCTTTTTAATTTTTTTTTTAATTTTATTTATTTTTATTTTTTATTTATTTATTTTTGGCTGCATTGGGTCTTCGTTGCTGCGCGCAGGCTTTCTCTAGTTGCAGTGAGCGGGGGCTACTCTTCGTTATGGTGTGCAGGCTTCTCATTGCGGTGGCTTCTCGTTGCAGAGCACGGGCTCTAGATGCTCAGGCTTCAGTAGTTGTAGCACGTGGGCTCAGTAGTTGTGGCACACAGGCTCAGTAGTTGTGGCACGCGGGCTTAGTTGCTCTGCGGCATGTGGGATCTTCCCAGACCAGGGCTCGAACCCGTGTCCCCTGCATTGGCAGGCGGATTCTTAACCACTGCGCCACTAGGGAAGCCCATGCCTTCACTCTTGACTTGAGGAATTTTAAATACTCAAGGGAAACTGCTTATGGAAGGAAATTCTACCCCAGATGAAGAAAAAGTCTTCCCCCCTAGAGTCTAACATATTTGGCTGAAAAAGTAATTTTTATCTTTAAAAATATATATTGAAAAGTGTTTTAGTTCTTAGTTTCGAAATATAGTGTCCTGTGACTCCAACCAGTTGGAGAAAGTTGAAATCTGAAACACTTAACCCATATTCTAGGTGTAACTAACAATTCGCTCATTCTTTATGGTAACAATCACTGCTCAAAATAGTTGAGTGCTGACATTTTCTTGTGAAATACAGACTGTATTTAGACCGTAAGAGCACTGCCTAACCAGGGAAAGCCAGAGCTTAAGGACAAATAGTCCTGAGTCCATTTAACAAATCAGGAGAGTGATCAGAGCAAAGGAAGGAAGGGAAGAGGCTCCAGGTGGCTCTCTTCAAAAGGTGAAGAACTCAAGGCTCTAAGGCTTCTCCCGCCCGCCCCCCCCCCAACCTCGGAA